AAGTGCTGATTTAGACTCATGGCGTTTTTAAGAACCAGACAAGAGATTATCTCTGCAGAGCACCTCCTATTTTTCTCGAGTAAATAAGCATTACTGCATTCAACTGGAGGTCAAATTGACAAAATCCTGGCACATTACACACTTCCATACTTGAAAAAATGGATGTTATTAATGTAATTAATCAATTATTGTAAAGAAAGACCAGCCAACACAGATGAATCTGGTATTGCTGGATAAAATAGCATGCTCCTACCCCAGCTGCACCCAAACAAAAAAAGAAGGCCAGAAGTTTTAACAAGAAAAAAAATGCTACAACAGCACTAGAAATGTTCTTTCCTAGTGCACGTGTCTGATTTTCCCTAATTGCCAACCTGCTGAAGGCAAACCTACAAAACAGTGTTTAGCATCCAAAGCATCTCGCAGCTAGAAGAAGCCACCATCGGTCATCATGAGAAAAAGAGAAGCAGCCACCTTTAATACAAAGGTATTTAATACATTTAATACAAAATTGAGAGCGTTAGGGAGAGCCTTCGGCTGAGGGCTGCTCAGGGCTAAACACCAGGATACGAACACCTTCACATTTTAAGACTGAATAGGGAAGTAAAAATAAGGTACTTTCCCTTTCCTGCTCCGGAAATGTAAGCTAGGGGAGACTTAGAAACAGTGCAAATAGTTAAATAAATTATTTAACTACCATACTATGCAATCTTCATGAAAAAAAGCACAAGATTTATGCAAGATGCATGAGTGGCATGTGTAGAAATGAAACCATCTTTTCTCCCCCAGCGTGTGCTACCAACTAACTTCGTAAACATCGTCCACGGGCAGATGGTAAAGAGGAGCCGCGAGTTTCAACCACTAAAAGCAAACAGAATTGTGTCTGTCAAACCCAGAGCAGCACTTGCTGCAACTATCAACCCGGTTTTGCTGGGGAGAAATGCAACACCCCTCACTGAATAATTCCTTTTCAAAGCCATGCATTCCCTGCAGCGGTTCAAGCTCCATCAGCAGGGCAGGAATGTAGGAAAATGACAGGCAAAGGGCACTAGCTCTTTTCCCATACTGTTCTTCTATAAATGGAAGCAGAGTCCTACGAGGCACTTAAAGCTGAGAATGTTGGAAGAGGGATCTCCAGGAAAAAAAAACAAACAATATTACTGTGTTAGGTTCCAGGAGCTGATTAATTATTCTGTTTTCCACAAAACTGTTTCCCCTTAAATGAAAGGAGGGAGAGGAAATCAACTACTAGAAAAGAGTGGAACACTAGCTGGGTCTCAGCTACAAAGCTGCCATGAACAAAGCGTGTACAAACACATACATATTTCATACACTATTCATAAAAATACTTCTTATCCCTTGTGGGAGCACCTGTTCCTGCATCCACTTTTCCCTCTCAGCGAAGGGAGAGAAAAGGAGGCAGATTTAGCAGAAATCCTTTAATAGCCTCAAGTCAATTTGATTAAACTTTTGTGATTTGCCTTAAAAATTACACCTCCTACCAGTGGTATATTATAGAAATGTAACATCCAGCGTTGAGAATTTTTAAAAAAGCTCTGAAATCTGTAACATATGCCACTCTGATAAGCTGGCCAGGCAGGCAAACACCAGTGTGCTGCATCGTAACGCAACGAGACACTCGTGTCACTTCTTGCTGTGACACCGAGCTGTCTCCCCGTTTTCTTCTGTCGTTGTTTTTTTTAGGGTTAATGAATGCATAGCATTCTGTTAAAAAAAAAATAATTAAAAAGAATAATAATTTAAACCAAAAAAAAAAAAGTCTTTACACATCTAACAGCTCCTTCGGTGCTCCTACCGTGTAGATGCGCCCGGATTTACCCCCGAGAGGGAGGGAGGGGGCAGGACCAGAGCCTCCCAGCACTCCCAGTAACCCCCTTCCCAGTCTCTTTTTTTACAGAAGCCCTCGCTCACAAACCGCCGGTGCTTCGGGCGGCGGCGTGCTGATGTTGGCACCGCTTAAAAACCAAACAAACACCGCGTTTTAACAGTCAAATAAAACGTCCCGCGGCCTCCCTAATGAATTTGTCAAGGGCCATCAGATCACCACCCCCCCCGCCCCCGCCTCATTAACTCAAGTATGATGAGACGGATTATAACGAGAGAATACAGATCAATCGGGCTGAAGGCTTCAAGTGGCTTTTAGCCCTGAGAGCCCCCCCCCTTTTCTCTCTCTCTCTCAGACGCAGGGGCTTTTTTTAATGGAATACAGTATCTCCCGCTGCTGGAGGGGCTGCCGCTTCGCTTTATACACCACCAAGGAGCCGCTGATGGACTCCTCCACTAACACACATAAAAGCAGAGGTGACAAGGGCTCTTCAATTACAGGATCCCGTGTGTGTCCCCCCCCACCCAGCTTCAATTATTCATCCCGACGAGAGCAAATTCCGCCGCAGAGGAAGCCGGTTTTAACGCAGCGCGGCCGCAAAAACCCGGGCACGGGAAGAGAAAGGGTTTCACCTGCGTTATTTTGCTGGAAGTGTTTAAGTTTATCGCTCAAACGATGTTTCTAATTAGCGCTGGGGGGCGGGGGAGAGGAGGGGAGGGGGCAGCAATAAATTAAAGTCGGGTTTTGTTTAGCTGATTTATTATTTACTAGCGGCTTCGAACTACTTTCGGGCAGAGAAAATGGGGAATGAATTGTTTTAAATCTGAACACGGGTAAGGGCGTCATCGTTAAGTCCCTTGACCGGGGGAGGGGAATAGGCTGCTCCTTCTG